AAATATTTTACTGATATTTATTTTTACATTGATGTCATATGGTATGTGGAGTGATATGAGAACCATTTATTTCTGATTGATTTCTCAGCTGCCTTTGCTTCATTTTTAATCATTCCACCCCAAGCAAGGTAATAAATACACTAAGACGCAGGTGGGGGGGTAACTCATTTTCAAAGGATATGAGAAAGAAAAATAACTATTAAGTAAAGCGAAAAATAAAAGAACCGCAATTAAGAAGACAGAAGACATTTTAAATGTGAATTTGAAGATCAAACTTGGCTGGAAAGTAAGAAGCTGGAAGAGAGTTTCATAAGTGAGAAGAGCTGGGGAAGAAAACTTTAGTATAGAACTTTCGGTTACATCTAGGCATTTCAGCTGTAAATGGTTCAAAATTGACATTTGTTTTAACGTAAGGAGGGTTACTAAACGAAGAATAAACAAAATGGAGGTTGTAAATGAAATGCTTATCTTTATAACATCAACAAAATACAATACTCGCCAGCGGCCTGAAGTAGGTAAACCACTTCTAGTAATGAACTACTTAGAGAGCATATTACCCGCACTTAAAATAGCGCCCAACGTTTTTATGAGGATTGAGACACAGCCATTAGTGTTCATAGGTACGCCATATAACACCCACTTTTTAGATTTACTCTGCACAGAGTCCATATCTTATCCTCGTCGCCAAAATGTTGTAACCTAAAAAAGGTTACTGAATGATGAATAACCAAAACGGAGGTTGGAAATGAAATGGTAATCTTTATAACATCAACAAAATACAATACTCGCCAGCGACGTGAAATAGGTAAACCACTGCTAGTGGTGGACTACTTATACAGCATATTACCCCCACTTACAATAGTGTCCAACGTATTTGTGATTGGGACATACCCATTAGTGTCCATAGGTACGGTATATAACAGCATTAAAACAAGCTATAATGGATATAACATTGTAGATGCAATTTTAAAAATATACAACCAGCTTAATCAAAATGTTTCACTCTCCAGCAACTACAGATTATTCGAAACCTCTTGAAGCGAAGAAAATTTAAATGAAGCAACGGGCGAGTGTCAAATAGCACTGCAGAAGTCACCCAGAAACAAAAATATTCAACCCATTATAAGAAAAATATTGGTAAGATATTTATCAAATTCACTGACAAACACTTCCTCGTATCAAATAAATTGCTCAACATATTCTACAGAAATATTTGAAAACATATCTACACCGAAAACAAATCATAAAAAAACACAACAGAAAAATTACCTGAAGAACAAAGTATGAATGTCCACTTAACATTTACTGCCTAGAAAAGAACGTAATATATGAGGCTGCAATAAAATATACCCAGAAATATATATGTCGGAATAATGGAATGTCCATGATAACAGAGAAGATACTACCACAAAGCACCAACAAAGAAAATATGCAAACAACACAATACTATCAAAAATATATGACCACATACCAATCCAAAACCTAAAATAGCATGTAAAATATAAAAGAAAATCAGCGTACAGGAACATCTCAAAACAACTAAACTTTGCTTAGAAGATATAATAGTGGAAAGTGTGGAACTCTCTTCTGGCTTCTGGCTTCTTGCTTCCTAGTCAACTTTGATCTTCAAAAATTTAAGTGTAGTGACAATCGTTATCTTTTTGTCTTCTTAATTCTGGTTCAGTTATTGTTCTCTCTGTTTTATAGTATTTTCCTTGGACTGGAGACTGCACTGAAACGTGAAACAGCCAGTCACCATGCAGTTTTCATTACAAATATGTCCACTTTTTGTGTCTCTCCCTGTCACGCAAAAGCGGGTACACACGCACACCCACACACACGCACACACACACACACACACATATATATATATATATATATATATATATATATGATGGACTCTCCTATCGTGAACAATAAATGAGGGTCGGCCTTTCGTTTTACACCTATGTATGCTAGCAGGGGCAATTGTGGAGAAAATCAGGTAAGAGAAAGACATATTTCATTTGTGTTTTCTAAAGTGTGATACTAGCCCAGCTTTGCTGCGTACAACAAAGCCACACTGACTGATGAAATTTGTTAAAGCAGGATTTTGACGATGTCTCTGCTTCAGACCTTCTCGAATCTGATCACGGGTCTTCAGTCTACTGTCTTCAGAACCCTTTAACTGTATGAAACATGTCTTAGGCCAATCTTTTCGGTTTGATGTTTGAGCTTCCCAGGTTTTCAGATCAAAGTTGAGACGTTTCAAGTTGTCTTTCAATTTATCTTTGTAGCGTAAGAGTGGACGTCCAACTGGACCCTTGGAATTTGGTAGTTGTCTATACAGCACCTTTTTTGGAAGCCTATGCTCATCTATTCTCACAACATGACCATCCCACTTAAGTTGTATCTTTGCTAGAATGGTTTCAATGCCTGTGTGTTACATTTCTTCCGTATTGCACTATTCATGACCCTGTCATCCTATTTTATATCACATATGGCACGAAGACAGCGCATGTGAATGGTGACAAAATTGATTTATGTACTTGCGGTATAGGGTCCGAGTTTCAGCACCATAGAGAAGGGCTGAGAGAACGACTGATCTGCATATGTAGATCTTTACTCTGAGGGACACGTTTTTGGTGTCCCATAACCTATGTTTAAATTTACCGAATGCTGTACTGTCGTTGGCTAGTCTAGATTTGGACTTCTCCGTCCATTTTTCCATCAGAAGGGACTGTTGATCCAAGATATGTAAACGCCTTAAAATTTTTGAATACCGTACCATCAATGAATATGGAAGGATTTGTGAGAGATGGATTGCCTGGTACTGGCTGCTACATTAGCTCTGTCTTCTTTGAGCTGATAGCGAGTCCAAATATATATTAATAAAAAATGCCTATATATGAGGTTTGATCAAAAGTTATGGGGCTGATGCTATAAAGATAAAACTACGACACATACAAATTCGGTAATTAATCTCTTTCGAAGTAGCCAACTTCTGAAGTTACACAGCGTCGTTTCCATTGATGAAAGCATTCCTGGATCAGCTACTTTATCACATTCTCTTCGATTTCCTCGACGTTTTGAAATTTGTTACTTTCAAGTGGGATTTGGTTTTTGAAGAGGGTCATGTCGCAGTGGGCGAGATCTGCTGAATATGGTCCGTGTTGGATTTAGGGAATATCCCCTTAGTAAAAAACTGCTGCACAATCCTTGCTCACTTATGAAACCTCTGTGGCTTGAGGAGACGACCACACTCTACACACTTTCCTTCCAAGCGCTGTTATAAACAATGGAAGCCATCACGTACGTTATAACTTAATGTGCATGCGCAGTACAATTGAAAGTCTATCTTTGTGAAGCTGTGTGTAATTTAGTTCCGTTACCATAGGAACAGTCACTTTTTGACAAAACCTCGCATATACATATATATATATATATACTCAATCTTTCGATGCCTGAAAACTATATCATGGATTGACCCAAGCCTTATGAGAGAAATTGGGTAGACGGAACCCTTGGGGCCGTCGATAGCTGTGCTAGAACGAAGTTACAAGTCATCGTGGCCGAGGGTTTGAACGTGATAACACCTTACTTCCAAGAAACTGTAACTAATGTCTGCTCAGCATGAAGACAGAAGGATTCGTGAGAGATGGATTGCCTGGTACTGGCTGCTACATTAGCTCTGTCTTCTTTAAGTTGATAGTGAGTCTAAAGATATATTAATAAATAATACCTATATATGAGGTTTGATCAAAAATTATTCGGGGGTGGTGCTATAAAAATAAAACTACGACACATATAAATTCGGCAATTAATCTCTTTCGAAGTAGCCAACTTCTGAAGCTACACAGCGTCGTTTCCATTGATGAAAGCATTTCTGGAACTCCTTTTTTTGGATAGCGATCAGCTACCTCATCACTTTCTCTTGGATTTCCTCGACGTTTTGAAATTTGTTACTTTCAAGTGGGATTTGGTTTTTGAAGAGGATAAAGGTGGGCGAGATCTGCTGAATATGGTCTAGATTTGGATATTTCTCTCCATGTTTCCGTCAGAAGAGACTGGTGATCCAAGATACGCCTCAATAGATTTTAATGCCATACCATCAACGAAAACGGAAAGATTTGTGAGATATGCATTGCTTGGTAATGGCCCAGTCTTCTTTATGTTGATAACGAGTCCAAATGCTTTCGCTCTTTTAGAGAATTTAATAATTTGAATATCTTATACTAAATTTGTTGAAATTGATCCATACAATGATCCTTCAAACGTCGAAGAATTGCCTTACCGACTACGATATATGGATAAATTTCAACAAATTTAGTATAAGAGATAAGGAAATTGAACTGTAGGTCTTAGAGAGAACAATATTTCTTCAAACGTCGAAGAATTGCTTTACCGACTACGGCATATGGATCAATTTCAAAAACTTTAGAATAAGAGATGGAAATTGAACTGTACGTCATAGCGAGGACGATGATCCTTCAAACGTAGACTGTGTTCTAACAGAGCAGCAGCATCTTCAAAGAGAAGATCTCCTACCAGTTGCAGACCAAATTTCGATTCTGTTTTAAAATGTTGCTGATTTCATAAACCTCCACTTGTTCTGAATTCAACATTGACTCCTTTACTTAAGTCAAAGAAAAGAGGGGTAAGAACGCAACCTTACATGGTACCCTTATGTTATACAGAAAAATTACTTAACTGTAAATAACAATTTTTGATGTCATTTCTCCTTTTAATATTAATATTAAACTATATCAAAATATCTGCTTTTACTTTGAACGATTATAGTCTATATATATATATATATATATATATATATATATATATATATATATATATATATATATTTCGAGTAATGCAGATTTTTCTACAAAATTTATTTTGTTGTACAAACACTCGGATGGGTGCCTCCCAGAACGCGACAATTTTAATCTCTTCAGGTCAACAGTCAATCGTTAGGAAATAGCCCTTTATCTTGAGTGGTTCTCGGGCTTCATAGTAAGTAAAAATTAGTATTGAATGCACACACATAGATAGATAGATAGATAGATAGATAGATAGATAGATAGATAGATAGATAGATAGAAACAGACTGAGATAGGTTGTAATGAACAGACCGAGATAGATAGATAGATAGATAGATAGATAGATAGATAGATAGATAGATAGATAGATAGATAGATAATCAAGAACAGACTTAGATAGATAGATAGATAGATAGATAGATAGATAGATATAGATAGATATACAAGAACAGACTTAGATAGATAGATAGAAAGAAACAGACTGAGATAGATATACAAGAACAGACTTAGATAGATAGATAGATAGATAGATAGATAGATAGATAGAAAGAAACAGACTGAGATAGATATACAAGAACAGACTTAGATAGATAGATAGATAGATAGATAGATAGATAGATAGATAGATAGATAGATAAAGAAACAGACTGAGATAGATATACAAGAATAGACTTAGATAGATAGATAGATAGATAGATAGATAGATAGATAGATAGATAGATTGATAGATAGATAGATGTGCAGAGAGAGAGAGAGCGGAGAGAGTGTGAGCGACAGTATGCTGGAAAAACTATAATAGAATTTTCCAGCCGTGAATTCACTTTGAAATATCCACAACAAAAGAGTAAGCACATTATTACGAATGTGTTACAGTTACAGGAATGGCTAAATCTTCCAAGGAGAAACGGTAAATTATCCAGAAAAATAATTTACGGTTTTATGCTTTCGAACTATTTCTACTTTCAGACAAGGAATTACGAACGATTCGAGTTATTTTATTTGCGTATATTTTGGTTAAATATATCTTGATTTGATTTTTATGTTTTACTTGCAATGAAACAGTGAAACACTTAGATTAATATAAATGTTTGTGATCCGATAAAGAAAGTGAATAACGGATGTCTTTGGAAAGGTTTTTAATTTACATAAAATGAGATATGATATTGAGTGATTTCTGTGGAGGAGTTGCAGGCAAAGAAAGAAAGAAAAAAACGAAAGAAAGAAAGAATTTCAGTAAAAAGACGGAGGCAAAAGATGATTTGAATAGAACGAAAATAAATGAAAGAAAGACAAAGAAAAAGAAAAAGAAAAGAACGAAGGGTGGAAAGAAAGAAAGAAAGAAAGAAAGAAAGAAAGAAAGAAAGAAAGAAAGAAAGAAAGAAAGAAAGGCTGCAAGCAAGAAAGAAAGGGACTAGCGATGGAATGAAGAAAGAAAGAAAGAAAGAAAGGCTGTCAGCAAGAAAGCAAGAGACTAGCGATGGAATGAAGAAAGAAAGAAAGAAAGAAAGAAAGAAAGAAAGAAAGAAAGAAAGACTGCGAGCAAGAAAGCAAGGGACTAGCGATGGAATGAAGAAAGAAAGAAAGAAAGAAAGAAAGAAAGAAAGAAAGAAAGAAAGAAAGAAAGAAAGAAAGGCTGCAAGCAAGAAAGCAAGGGACTAGCGATGGAATGAAGAAAGAAAGAAAGAAAGAAAGAAAGAAAGAAAGAAAGAAAGAAAGAAAGAAAGGCTGCAAGCAAGAAAGCAAGGGACTAGCGATGGAATGAAGAAAGAAAGAAAGAAAGAAAGAAAGAGAGAAAGAATGGGGCAACCAAGAAAAGAGAAAAAAAAAAGAGAGCAGTATAAGGAAAGAAATATGACTGAAGCTGAAGAAAAGAAAGGACTAAATAAAGAAAGTAACGAAACTGAAGGAAGAGAAAGGGGAATGGAAAAAGAAAGTAGAAAATGCAAAGAAAGAAAAAAGAAAGAAAGAAAAAGAAAAAAGAAAAAGAAAAGCGGAAGAATGGGGAAATAAAAAGAGACAAAGACAGAAAGAATGAAGGAAAGAATTACTGAAGGAAAATGAAAGGAAAATGAGACAAAAATAAAAGAAAGGAAAAAAGAAGAAAAAGAACGTAGAAAGAATGAAGAAAGAACGAAAATATAAAGAATGAAACAAACGAATAATAAAGAAAGAATGAAAGAAAGAAAAACAAAGAAAATCGAAGAACAACTGAAGGCATAGAAAAAATGAAGAAAATGAAAGAAAAATAAAAAAGGAAAAGAAAAGAAAGGAAAAGAAAATAAAGAAATGAAGAAAGGACGAAGCAAGAAATGCATTATAAAAAGAAAGATAAACGTAGAGAAAAAGAAATCAAAAGAACGAAAGAAAAGAAGGAAGATAGAAAAAAAAAGAAGCAAAGACAATGAAAGAAAGAAAGAAAAACGTTAAAGAATGGAAGAGCAACACCAGACAAAGAAAAAAACAAAGAAAATAAAGTAAAAAGAAAAGAAAAGAAACAAATTAAGATAGAAAAAAGAAAGAAAGGACAAAGAAAGAAAGAAGAAAGAAAGAAAGAACAGAACAGAAAAAGAAAGAAAGAAAGAAAGAAAGAATGGAATAGAAAAAAGAAAAACAGGAAAAGAATGAAATATAGACAACAATAGAAAGAAAGAAAGAAACAAACAAACAAACAAAGAGAGAAAGAAACAAAGAAAGAAATAAACAAAGAAAAAAAGAAACGAAGAAAGAAAGAAAAACAGAAGAGAATATAGGGAATTTTTCAAAGTCAAAATAGGACCAAAGGTAAGAGATACTAAGATGGAAATAAAAGAAAGAAAGAAAGAAAGAAAGAAAGAAAGAAAGAAAGAAAGAAAGACAGATGGGAATAGAAAAAAGAAAGAAAAACAGACAGCAATAGAAAGAAAGAAAGCAAGAAAGAAAGAAAGAAAGAAAGAAAGAAAGAAAGAAAGAAAGAAGAGAATATGGGGAATTTTTCAAAGTGAAAATAGGACCAAAGGTAAGAGATACTAAGATGGAAATAAAAGAAAGAAAGAAAGAAAGAAAGAAAGAAAGAAAGAAAGAAAGACAGATGGGAATAGAAAAAAGAAAGAAAAACAGACAGCAATAGAAAGAAAGAAAGAAAGAAAGAAAGAAAGAAAGAAAGAAAGAAAGAAAAATAGAAGAGAATATGGGGAATTTTTCAAAGTCAAAATAGGACCAAAGGTAAAAGATACTAAGATTGAAATAAAAGAAAGAAAGAAAGAAAAACGAAAGAAAAAGAAACGCTAAGGAATGGAAGAACAACACCCGACAAAGAAAGGAAACGAAAGTAAAATAAAAGAAAAGAAAAGAAAGAAAGAAATTAAGAAAGAAAAAGGAGGAAGAAAGGATGACGAAAGAAAGACGTTATAAAAAGAAAGACTGACAAGAAAATGTAGAGAAAAAAGAAAGCAAAATAACGAAAAGAAGGAAGATATAAAAAAGAAAGAAGGACAACAAAAGAAAGAAAGAAAGAAAGAGAGAAAGAAAGAGAGAGAGAGAGAGAGAGAATAATAAAAGAAAGAAAAAAGGAATATATGAAAGAGCGATAGAAAAAATTCGACTGAATGAGAGCATGATGTCAAGTCAATCGAAATGGAAGAAAAAATTGTAAAGAAGCGAAAAACAAACAAACAAAACAAAACCCAACGACGCTTTCATTCAAAATGTGATTATGCTATATCGGCCATCTCTCGTGTGATTCATTTTCTACTTCTATCTTCTCCCCCGTCCCTACCAATATCCCCGCCGGAAGAATCAGTTGAGCTGTTTTTAAGCGCATGCGCAGTCCATCAACAAGTGCATATCTTTTCTCTCATGTCATACATCATAGATGTATTAATTGTTGACATATTTCTCAATCTTAAAAAAAAAAAAAAAAACGAATTGATAATGTATTACAGTTTCGATCGGAGATCACGTCTGCTGGGCCAAAAGTAGTCTCTTGGTCCATATCGGCTCAACCTATCTAATGCTTTGCATGGACCACTTTTCTTTATCACCAGTCACTCTTCTGCCCAAAGCTATTAATCCTTAGTGCTACCCACATTCCCCTCCTATTCCATTGGTGAAAAATAGGCACCACTCAAACAACTTTCTTCCCGTAAACTACTGCCCTACTGAACAGACTCCCAAGAGGATGTTTCCCCGATCACTATAATCTTAACCTGTTCAAGTCTCAGGTTGACTGTTATCTTACTCTCTCCACGTCCCGCCTGTGGGAGAGAGATTGGTGTGTGGAAAATAATTCTTCTCCGATGTGAATTGAAAGACCCTTTTCGAGATTGGAAAGTGAGGTCTGGGCAGTTCCTGCCCAAATATGGCAACAGTACTTCATTTTTTTGGCCTGATCTGGCTTTTATAAAGATAGAAGATAGCATGAGTCGGGTATTTACTGAAACGGTACAGGGAGCCGATTAATTGACCTGCAACTTTAGCGATGGATCGTATACAAGAGTTTCACATGAGGCCAGGTGTGAGTTTGAAGCCCAATATCCCCTCGTGTCACTCGGTCTCCCGCAGGGAACATCTGTTCATCGTGACTGACGGCAGTTCGGGATCTGATCGCTGGTGACGGAATGTAACTAGTTTGGTTTTAGAGTTTATTTACTAACCTTTTGTTGGAAGCATTGTGGAACGTTAACATGTTTTTAGATCACTATGTGACACAAATATCGCTACATTACATAATTTCAGAAGTACAGTCAACGAGAAAATTATTCGTACACCCATCAATTTTGAATATTTTTATCCATTTCTCAGGATCTAATACCGATATGATACGAGGTCTTTATCTACACTATTTACATTATTCGGACTATTGTCCTCATCTTTGTCGCCATATTTATTACAACGCCTCGGTCGTTGTACGTTCCGGCCTTCTTCTGGTGTTTGGAATGTCGAACTGAACAATTTTATTTCGGTCACTAAGGTAGAGTGTTCTAGTTCCACGTGCCATGTTCAATGGATGTCAGTTATCATTTATATCCTATTAATTCCTTTCTCCGAGTTCTCCACTGCCTTAACCTTTATTAGGTTTTAGAGTTTTCTTCCTAACCTTTTGTTGGAAATAGTTCAATACCCGGTTAAGGCAGTGGAGAACTTGAAGAGGGGAATTAACAGGAGATAACTGACATCCATTAAACATGGCACGTGGAACTAGAACAGTCTACCCCAGTGAGCGAAATAAAAGGGTTCAGTTGTACATTCCAACCATCTGAAGAAGGCCGGGGCGTACAACGGCCGAAACGTTGTAATAAATATGGCGACAAAGATGAGGACAATAGTCTGAATAATGTAAATCGTGTACGTAATACCTCATCTCAGAAATATAGACAGATACCGAGGTGTTTATATCTTGATAAGTACAAAAAGGAATATAAAACACAATTAACAGAACAATATGGTTAAATAAAACAAATTTGAGGGGCTAATGTTGAATGGGAGGGGGGGTCTCGGGTAAGTAATGGATAGCGGCTCGGATTAGGGAATCGGTGAGCCGAGTTCGAATTCCAGTCGAATCCATTACATTCACTTACGTGCTAATACACTTGGGAAAGGTGTGAATCCTCTTCTTGTCCCCCTAGCTATGGACAAATAGCAAGACAGACCAGGTTCTATAGACTTGGATGGCAACTGGTCTACCTTAGAAAGAAATGGCAACCTACTGGAGGAAAAATCTGCCTCGTCGATCATGTATAGAAAGATACATGATTGCCTAAGCGTGTTTCACGCATGGCACATAACTGACAGACTGAATGATGAACGTATAGTAACTTTATTTCTTTGATGCTACAGGAGGATCATATTAAAAATAAGTAAACAAAACTTGTCTAAATTATTTAATAAGACATGCCTTGATATATATATATATATATATATATATATATATATATATATATATTATAATATTTTTAAAAAATATGATTCCTTCGCTACATAAGGGGTTCTCATGTTTCAAAAACGAAAGCCGAAACCATCAATATAATTATTAAAATTAAGTTGAATCAAGGTGTTTTGTCCCGTTTCATCTTCAAGCAAAAAATTTAGGAATTTTGTGGTTTGCGCGTATTTACTTGCACACACATATATATATATATATATATATATATATATATATATATATATATATATATATATATATATATATATATATATATATATATATAGCCTTTGGTAAAATCGGTGTCATTATGGTGATGATTTTAATTATGATTACATAATTAAGTTTTCTCGCTTTCTCTTATATATATATATATATATATATATATATATATATATATATATATATATATATATATATATATCCACAACACATCGATTATATATATATATATATATATATATATCTGGGATGAGTTATTATGTTTACTTACATTATTAACATTAATTGGATTTTTATCCTCATCCTAATCTTCATTGTCATATTCACAACGTTTAGGCCGTTGTACTCTCCGACCTTCTTCAGGCGATTGGACACATGTATAAATTAGATAAATAATTGAAAAATATAATTTATTCATCACAAAATCCTTCTGTTTTTCCTCTTAATAACTACATAAAGATTTTGACGATAAAACTTTTATTCTGTTTCGGGCGTGTTTTCATTATCTATGCTCGTTTTTTTAGCGGATCCTTGGAGATAGATAGATAGATAGATAGATAGATAGATAGATAGATAGATAGATAGATATGAACGGATTGAGATAGATAGATAGATAGATAGATAGATAGATAGATAGATATGAACGGATTGAGATAGATTAATAAATAAATTGTCGGACTTTGTCCATTTCTTAAGATAGATAGATAGATAGATAGATATGAACAGATATGAACATATTGATAGATATGAACGGATTGAGATAGATAGATAGATAGATAGATAGATAGATAGATAGATAGATAGATATGAACGGATTGAGATAGATAGATAGATAGATATGAATAGATTGAGATAGATAGATATGAACGGATTGAGATAGATAGATAGATAGATAGATAGATAGATAGATAGATAGATAGATAGATATGAACGGATTGAGATAGATAGATAGATAGATAGATAGATTGCTGAAGATAATCGTGATGATGATGGTGATAGTTACGGTAATATTGATGCTTGTTTGCTTTACTCTCTTTTCCCAGAGGCTGGCACATTCCAAATGTTCATAATCCATCTGACCCTCAATAGCACTTGTCTGTCTGTCTACCCGACAATCGGGTGTGTCGGTCGGCCTGACCAGCATAGAGAGAAAGAGAATGCAATTTTGTGAGGTTTCCCTTTCGGTAACAATGCCATGGAAACCTTCCGGCGAAATGAAGCGACCTTACTTTTCAAACAATACTCCCTCTCTCTCTCTCTCTCTCTCTCTCTTCCTTCCCGCTTTTTAATTTTACATTATCCCCACAATTCCCTCACTCACCTCCTTCAAATCCTTTCTCAATTACACTTCTTTCCCCATCATTCTCTCTCTCTTTTCTTCTTGTGCTGTCTCCATCTTTCCTACACTCACCTCTTTCAAATCCTTTTCGTAGTCACACCTTTTTCCCACCTCCCCTCTCTCTCTCTTTCACACACTCACAAATATTATACTGTCCCTATCTTTTCCCGCCCGTTCCTTCCCGTCAGCATTCCGTTCGCCCCGTCTTCGGGCTTCGTTTATCACTTTGATAATTTTTCAGGAACGACAACTTAGCAAATATTTGAAAACACACAGAGATGTTTTTAACGTATCACATTGATAACGTATCAAATTGTTTCTGGAGTGAAGGAAACGTCACGTTGACGAAGACACACAGACAAACACCTTAATAAATCTATTAAAACTGCAAAGAGCATTATTATTATTATTATTATTATTATTATTATTATTATTAAATGTGTTTTTGTTCCCCTTCGCTTTCGTTTTGTCTTTCGGTCTTCCCTTTGCGCATGCCCAGACGTACACTCAAGTGATACAAATGCCTACCCTTCACGATTTCAAACTTCAATTCCTAATATGGCTACAATAAAAGATCAATAACATCACTCTTCTTTTGCCATGCGAAATGAGTGCTTGTTTCATTCGTTACTCTTTCGTCTACTTCCTTTTTTCTAAATGTTTTTCTTCTTAGCGACATTTAAAAATATATCATTCTTTTTATACCTTTCTTAGGAAGAGTTCATGGTTGTATCTTTTTCTTGCATGTTTTTTTTTTTTTTTATAGTCCCTTTCTTCTTTATGGCCTACGCTTCCTTCCTTTTTATTCTTCCCACACACTCTGTATTTCTCTTTCTATATTTCTTTCATTATTTACCTTTCTTTCTTTCTTTCTTTCTTTCTTTCTTTCTTTCTTTCTTTCTTTCGTTTTTCTTTTCTTTTCTTTCTTCGGTCAGTCTATTTCTCTTTTCCTCGTCTTCCACAGTATTTCTCATTCTTTCTTTCTTTCTTTTTTTCTATCTTTTTCTGTCTTTTCTTTCTTTCACACTGTACCTCTCTCTTTATTCTTCGTTATTTCCTTTTTCCTCCTCTCCGCAATATTTCTAATTCTTTTTTCTTCCTTTTTTTTTCTTCGCTCAGTCTATATCCATTTTTCCCTTTCTTAATGTTTTCGCTTTTTTCTTTCTTTCGCTTTTTTTCTTTCTCACTCTATTTGCTTATCATTCATTTACACTATTATCTTTCTTTCTTCTTCATTCAAACTGTTTCCTCTATTCCTCATCTTCCACAGTCTTTCAATTTCTTTCTTTCTTTTTCGCTCAGTATATTTCGCTTTTTGTTCTTCTCTCAAAGTTATTTGCTGTCTTTCTTTTTTTTTTCACGCTGTTTCTCATTCTTTCCTCCTTTCATTCATTGTTTCTTTATTCCTAACTCACTCTCTTTCCCTTTCGTTTTTCATTCTTTCTCTTTCACTTTATTTCTCTTTTGTTTATTTCCTTCTTTCTTCCTGTCTCACTACATTCTCTTTCTTCCTTCATTAGTGTATTTCCCTTTCTTTCTTTCTTTCTTTCTTTCTTTCTTTCTTTCTTTGCTAATCTCTGTTCTTTTTCCTTTTTTCTTTTATTTACTGCTTCTGCCTCTCTTCTTTCTTCCCTTATTTCTTTTTGGTGGGGAGGGGAACACCGTTTCTATAATCGTCCTCCCCAAACATTGGAAATGGGAGAATTTTGTCTTTAATTTTCTTTCAAGAAGCCATCAAACCCACTGCCCAGTCTTAAGTGCCAAGGAGATATTCATTACCAAGAAGAAAGTTCTTAAGTATACAAGCCGAAGAAAATTTTAAATTCGAAGATTAGTTTGTTTGTTTTTTCTTTTTCTTTGGAAGAGGAAATAATAAACAAATTTCAACAATCAATCATGGGAAAAAATATAAAACTAACCCAAAACACGAACAAACAAAACTACGATTTTCGATGTGTTATTGTATGCACTTATGTTATTGTATAATTTGGACATTTATGCGTTTGTGTAAAAAGTGTATATATTATACAACGGATACGATCCAGTCTTGATAAAGCCCTTGTGCGTGACAAATTACACTCCATCTTCCAATATGTCTCCCACAGGCGGGGATGTGGTAAGCCTCTCGCTGCTCTGCCTCTTCTTCCACGGAAAGTGCACGGATGAACTACATTCCCTGGTCTTACCAAGTCAAACCTTAACGGCAAGAGCACGCCATGCCACTTACACAGTAGCAAACCGCTAAGATTTCTTCCGTATTCCATCGGTCAGATGTAAGTTCCTCTCGAGTAGTTCCTTCCCGCGAACCACTGGTCTGTGGAACCGACTCTTAAGACGATATTTCACTACAATTTTAACCTGTTCAAGGCTAGGGTTAACCTTTATGTTCCACGTCCATACAAACAAACAGCCTCCTACGGTACTACTCTACCCGAGTGCCCCGGGGATGTAATGGGTGAACAAAAAAAAAACTAAAAGACATGCAAGTTTACTAAAATACAAGATCTGGTCGGAGATCTGGTCTATATTTCTGAGATGAGGTATTATGTACACTATTTACATTATTCGGACTATTGTCCTCATCTTTGTCGCCATATTTATTACGATGTTTCGGCCTTTCAGTATCTGTCTATATTTCTGAGATGAGGTATTATGTACACTATTTACATTATTCGGACTATTGACCTCATCTTTGTCGCCATATTTATTACAACGTTTCGGCCTTTCAGTATCTGTCTATATTTCTGAGATGAGGTATTATGTACACTATTTACATTATTCGGACTATTGACCTCATCTTTGTCACCATATTTATTACAACGTTTCGGCCTTTCAGTATCTGTCTATATTTCTGAGATGAGGTATTATGTACACTATTTACATTATTCGGACTATTGTCCTCATCTTTGTCGCCATATTTATTACGATGTTTCGGCCTTTCAGTATCTGTCTATATTTCTGACATGAGGTATTATGTACACTATTTACATTATTCGGACTATTGACCTCATCTTTGTCGCCATATTTATTACAACGTTTCGGCCTTTCAGTATCTGTCTATATTTCTGAGATGCGGTATTATGTACACTATTTACATTATTCGGACTATTGACCTCATCTTTGTCGCCATATTTTTTACAACGTTTCGGCCTTTCAGTATCTGTCTATATTTCTGACATGAGGTATTATGTACACTATTTACATTATTCGGACTATTGACCTCATCTTTGTCGCCATATTTATTACAACGTTTCGGCCTTTCAGTATCTGTCTATATTTTTGAGATGCGGTATTATGTACACTATTTACATTATTCGGACTATTGACCTCATCTTTGTCGCCATATTTATTACAACGTTTCGGCCTTTCAGTATCTGTCTATATTTCTGACATGAGGTATTATGTACACTATTTAGATTATTCGGACTATTGACCTCATCTTTGTCGCCATATTTATTACAACGTTTCGGCCTTTCAGTATCTGTCTATATTTCTGAGATGAGGTATTATGTACACTATTTACATTATTCGGACTATTGACCTCATCTTTGTCGCCATATTTATTACAACGTTTCGGCCTTTCAGTATCTGTCTATATTTCTGAGATGAGGTATTATGTACACTATTTACATTATTCGGACTATTGACCTCATCTTTGTCGCCATATTTATTACAACGTTTCGGCCTTTCAGTATCTGTCTATATTTCTGAGATGCGGTATTATGTACACTATTTACATTATTCGGACTATTGACCTCATCTTTGTCGCCATATTTATTACAACGTTTCGGCACTTCAGTATCTGTCGATATTTCTGAGATGAGGTATTATGTACACTATTTACATTATTCGGACTATTGACCTCATCTTTGTCGCCATATTTATTATAACGTTTCGGCCTTTCAGTATCTGTCTATATTTCTGAGATGCGGTATTATGTACACTATTTACATTATTCGGACTATTGACCTCATCTTTGTCGCCATATTTATTACAACGTTTCGGCCCTTCAGTATTTGTCTATATTTCTGAGATGAGGTATTATGTACACTATTTACATTATTCGGACTATTGACCTCATCTTTGTCGCCATATTTATCACAACGTTTCGGCCCTTCAGTATCTGTCTATATTTCTGAGATGAGGTATTATGTACACTATTTACATTATTCGGACTATTGACCTCATCTTTGTCGCCATATTTATCACAACGTTTCGGCCCTTCAGTATCTGTCTATATTTCTGAGATGAGGTATTATGTACACTATTTACATTATTCGGACTATTGACCTCATCTTTGTCGCCATATTTATTACAACGTTTCGGCCCTTCAGTATCTGTCTATATTTCTGAGATGAGGTATTATGTACACTATTTAGATTATTCGGACTATTGACCTCATCTTTGTCGCCATATTTATTACAACGTTTCGGCCTTTCAGTATCTGTCTATATTTCTGACATGAGGTATTATGTACACTATTTACATTATTCGGACTTTTGACCTCATCTTTGTCGCCATATTTATTACAACGTTTCGGCCTTTCAGTATCTGTCTATATTTCTGAGATGAGTTATTATGTACACTATTTACATTATTCGGACTATTGACCTCATATTTGTCGCCATATTTATTACAACGTTTCGGCCTTTCAGTATCTGTCTATATTTCTGAGATGAGGTATTATGTACACTATTTACATTATTCAGACTATTG